ATGGAAAACATTGAAAAGGAAACAGTATTATTCATACCACATTCATTCATTTNTAACTGAAATAAAATATATAATTGATCAAGAAGAATGGTTAAGTTAACACACACAAACGAATGGATACGCACTATCTAGACGAATATATACGTATTATACAGTTTTTAAGCTTCATGGAGCTTTTACGCGACTAATAAGCATTTAAACACGTGCTTGACACGCATTCGCATTATCAACTTTTAACATCGAATATCTCGGAAACTGTCCATTAGCGAACTTTGGGTCCATGAAGACTTTTGTTCCTCATAACAAAAACAACCTATTCCCAAAATTTCATTAAAATCGACCGAACGGAATTTCCCATAAGGTTTGTGCGGGGTCCTTTTGCAGTCCGGACCTGGAATACATATTATTTGAGGAAAATGAAGTTTAAAATATGCAAGCTTTTTTATAACATCCACCCTCAACTAAGCCTTCGCTAATTTTGGTTGCAAAACCATTTTTATCAAGTGTCCTTTATGTAATTTAGCTTATTTAAAAAACCACCAAAGTGTAACAAAAAAAATAAACAAGACTTTAAGATCACTTTTTTATACTCTTTCCGAATATTGTATCGGAATTTCAGAAAAATACATACAGAGTGTTGCTTTCTAGACTTGCACAAAAAATTTACAATTTTTGCAGTCCGGACCTGGATTTTTTTGCTGTCATACATGCATACATGAAGTATCGTGAGTGCATTAACCCTACCAAATATGAACCCATTATTCCATTCCTTTCCAAAGTTATGACATAAGCAGTTTTGACCAAAAATCATAAATCACCCTGTATCTCAATAAAGAATGGCCAAGGAGCTATTTCTATAGGCACATCCTAGTTACCCTAGATGTCCTCTATCTCAAATTAAGCCATGTACATCTCGTGATGCAACACCCTGTATACAAATTATTATAATTTTTTACCTTTAGCAGAAAATTTTTTTAGGGACACCTATGAAACTAATTAAAATTTATTACCAGACGTTTTTTTTTGCATATTCAACTGACTTCGGAAGGACTAAAACTACAAAATTTCTCTTACATCTTAGACTATTAAATTTTAGACAAATTTGTTCAAACAAAATAGTTTGTAAATAGTGATAGGAAGATATGTTTATTTTCGCGACCCGGGTCATCCAGGTCAATTATTCAAATGATTCGTTCATGAAGATCCGTTCATATGAACTATAAGGAAATAGTATCGAATCCAATCTGTATCATTCGGTGTTCCGTTTTGTCAGTCCATGCACGATAGAATGCCTTTTTTTAGCACGGTTTGAAGTGGTTAATATCTTCCTGCACCTGCACCTGCACGTGCACTATCAACATTTGATAGATTTATACCCATACATATTTTATATTTGTATTTTTTAAAGAACGATTATGCAAAAAAATTATACAGATATTGTGAGGAGCCCTTAAAATCACCTATACTACATCTCAAATTTAAAACAATTTTTATTTAGTTTAGTTTAGACAGCAGTCTTTGAGACAAATTTGCAGTTGTATTATATTCCATTATTGGTTAAAATTTAATATCTGAAAAAAAGAGAGTTGGTGATAAGGCAAAATGCAAACTTTTGTTCCAAAATGATGTTTCTTAAAGGAGAAGCAACTTATTATTAATTAAATATTTTTTTATATGACCGTTTTTATCAGCAAAATATAAAACATTATATCAGTAAAATTAAAAGAAATTTTATTGGTACCTACTTTTACAATATTATCGTGTGAACCTTATCAGTAAAAAATTGGAATTTCATCTCCTTCATTCCATTCACCACCATCATTTGATTGTATAAATAATGATTTTTAAATTTTGCATATGCCTGTACAGTGTCCAGTATTGAGATTTCAGATCGCAATCATACAATACCGACTTACAGAGTACCGATATCCAGATCATAGAGTCGATCTTTCACGGGTTTCATTCTGTATCAATACCAGCTCTCCAGTTCAAATCTGCAGGCACTGAGTTTGCGCTCAAATGAACGATGAGCGATAGGGTCACATAACGTGAACGTGTTCATTCCCGGTTTTTTTGGAGGTTTGGTCATTATGACCGGATTGTTCATGAACGAGACACATCACTATTTGTAGACATCAGTGTGTAATGTGACGACAAGATTGATGAAATCATAGATTGATACTATGAATGGAATGTAGAGAGGGAGGTAACAAGCCAATATGCATGAATATGAAAACTAGGCTAATATCACTTCACTTTGGGTGTTTGTAAGCTGTGCATAATGTAAGATGCGCTTTTATTGTATACACAGCTGAATTTATAGTCAGTTTGTTTTGTTGTCCATGTAATGTATCCATGGTAATTATTTTGAAATTTCTTCTTTTTTTGTTATGGTATGCTTGTCTAATTATTTATATGTATTTAAATCCATTTACTATTATTTTCCTATTTATCTATATAACTATAGTTCTTTTCATATATATTGTACAAATAAAAAACTATTTTATATTGCCGATAATGACAAAAACGGTGTTGTAAATACCTACTTGTTTGAGCAGAACAGGGTCGTATTTAGGCCAAAGTTTACAGAATATAATATTTAAGTCACCCTTCAAACAATTCACAACAGACACACACACAATGGCTATAAATTGGAAACAATTGCAAAAGTGAATTACAAAAGTTGCCCAATAAAAAACTTGTAATAAAACAGAAATCGCACTCTACTCCAAACTCTAAAAAATAAAAATCACAGCATTGCAGTACCAACTCCTGCCCTGTACCGCGCAAACTGAGCTATCAGAAATTTAAAGTAATAAGTTCACTGTGTCTAATTATTGATTGTCTCTGTCTCACATTAGGAATTTGAGAACAACGTACGTCTTAGAGAGATGAACAGAATCTGTTTTCTTGCCAGCCCAGCTGTGTTGCCAAATGTTTCGGCGAGTTAGTATTGTACTAAAAATGGGCAATATCCATTTCAAGAATGAAATGAATAATGCAATTATTGTTTAAATAAATGTACTTATGCAAATTCAGCATATTCTATTTTCAGAACATAACTTAATATTTTAAATGTAAGTATCTGAATAAATTAATTTCATTCAATTTAGCAATTATTTATTTAGGAAATATTTTTACATATCGGCAACACAAGGTCCACGTCCGGCGAATGAAGATCCCGCCCACCTAGGCGGCCAGGCATAATTTTACAACTAATATATTTAAATAAAAGTACTAACACTCTCAAAACTATTTTTTAAAGAAAAATATTGGTAACATTAACATAATGTTCCTTTATGGAATGGCCCTCTAGCAGTCGAGACCTCTTGCCAATAGAAACATTGTGGCATGAAATGAAGAAAGTTGTGCAAACATCCAGCTCGTTCAGTTAACGATCTACGCACCAAACTGCAAGAAATTTGGGACGCTTCCTGAAGAGTGCGCTAAGCTGGTAGATACAATGCCTGCCAGAGTTAAAGCTGTTATTCTTAATAAAATAGTTTTGAGATTGTCATTACTTTTAATTAAATATGTATATTAGTAGTAAAATTATATCTGGCCGAACTATTATGAGCCTGGGTTTGTACATAATCAGTATATTTATGTCTTGTCTTATTTACTTATTAAGTCTCATATTTTAATTTTATCTTATTATATGCAATAGGGTTAAGTTGAAAAACTGTTTTACTGACACTTCGCCCTATGCGTTTATATTACTATTTCTTATCTTGTCACTATTATGAATAAATAAAGACCATTTATTATTATTTACATTTTCATATCTATTATTTGGGATTAAGTGTATTGAGTAGGTATTTTATGTCATATTATACATGTAATCCACTCATTCTCCATGCCTATTTATGGTTGTTTTAATGGTTGTTCTTTAAATGTTTTTACTTTAATTACTAAACAGTTCATTAATGACAAATTGGATGATTTTTATTGTCTTAGATTTCCTAAAGATAAGGGTATAAGGGGCAAATGGCTAGTTGTTCTTAGGAGTAATATTTTTATAGTAAAAATTTATAGGGCGAGTGCAGTCTAGCAACTTGGCATTCATGTGATTGATATGAAAAGTTAAACAACGCTGACTGGGATGGATCATTCAAGGAAGGCTCGCGATACTCGTCCACCTACTAGTGGCGTGTATGTTGGTGTAATCACAGAAGCTGTACAAATTTAGGAGAGATTTGTATAGGGAAGACATGACATATCAACCCTCACAAAGGATGTAAAATTGTTGGCCCCTTGTCTAAACAATGTTAAGTATGTAAAAGATTGCTATCCTACGACAAGGTGAGAGTTTGGCAAAATATCCAGATTGGGCTTGCTCGTCTCCTAGCATCAGTGTTTAGCCATAGTAGCAGATAGGCTGAAGTAAAATAACCAACAATTTTTTTTATGTTAAAGTTTAGACACTTATGATAGTAATAATTTATATTGGTTTATAAGAAGCTTGGCTGATGTGTGGAATGTGTAATCTAGATATTACAGATATCTATATAATACATCACAAGCGATATGCTTTCAAATGCCCTAAATTACATGGTGTGATCTGAGACTACTGACTAGTTCCACTTCATTTTACATGTTAGCTTAGCTGCTTACCCTTTCTAATACTAATTAGAAATTACTAATACCTAAGATTTGATAATTCAAATCTATGGATAAAACTGCAAATTAACCAAACTGTTTTTATTAAAGGTTCTCTACTTTCCAGTTAAGTACATCAAAAACGGATAAAAAATATGTATTCAAAAAATTTAAATATGTTTTCAGGCCATTCTTAGAGTAATTTTTATTTATTATTTTACTAGTTTAATCAAATCAGTTTGTATGAAATTAGTTTTGCTATCAAACCATTCTGATTAAACAAACTTGGCAGAAATTTCATAGTCTGATGTGGACCATGCAATGAAGACAAAACAATGAATAAATTATTCCTGACGTTATAATAAATTCGTAAAATGGTTCAAACATGATATATGTCTTACCTAAATGAGCAGCTTTTAACATAGACTGTCCAAATTCGATAGCTCCACCATGTTTAAATGTCAGTTTGAATTTAGCTTCTCCAACCCAGTTTCCGTTAGGTTGTGCCCGTACTTTACCTTTTATATAATTTGCTCCAAATACTGGCTGTTCTATTTCTACCTACAATGTGCCCAAATTGATTGAAAAATTATGCTCTAGTTGTATCATAGACTTACTTCACTAAGAGTGACAAATGGAAAACTGAAACTCTGCATTTCATCAGAAGTTTTGTTATTAAAAATAACTCTGTGTGTTGTTAAATAGATGCTCCCTTTTTTAACGCCGCGAAAAGCAGAAGCTTCTTGTCCAGACCATTCCAAACATACGTTATCCGAAAACAGCAATATACTATAATAAAAATGTTGCAATATTTTATAATTAATAAATAGTCATGATCATACCGTTCCCCATTATGTATCAAAACTCCTCCATTTAAATGAGCAGTATTTAAAGACATCACTACAACCAACTAGAACTAAGTTCGATTTTTCAAATCACTATAAATTTGTCTTGTTTTGCCTTCTAGAATAATGAAATTTAAACGGAACAAAACACTAAACACACAAAATATAAGAAGAAATACAATTTCTCTATAATACTTTGGAACACCTGTGACAGTTATATACGTGTGGCGCCAGCTACTTAGATCGATGAACTACACAATTGCAGCGGTAATTTCGAATATTCTATTTGTAATATTAAGTATTATGTGACAAATATTTAAAATATAACACAATTTACTTGTAAATTGTTTATGATTTTAAATAAGGTTAAATGGAAATGTGGAATATATCAAAATGAAAAAAAAATTGTTAAAAATATATTTATATGTAAGTATTATATTGAACAAATTTAAAGAATTTAACACAAAAATAAGAAAATGTATATAAATGTTAAATCGCTTGGATCACTTTTAACTTTTTAAAAACTTTATTTTTTTTATTACAAATAATTTGTTTATTTCACTATCTTTTACAATCTGGGAGTTTTACTTTGAACTTCGATTTTTAAGTTTAATTACTTATTTTAATATGACACAGAGTTGTGTGGCAACGCGACAATGAATTAAGGTGTATATGGCGATGCAACGACTAACTAAGGTGATATTGCTTTATTACCAGGCCTTTTTATAAGTTTGTTAGTTTTTAGTCAGCAAAAGCTGATGAGAAACAATTAAGTTTCTTAGAAGTCCTTGGCAACTTGACAATACTCCTTTGTTCTAATGTTTATCTTTATACAATACAATGTTGCATTATAGTTTGAAATAATTCTAAGTCTGAAATATATACAGTTAAATTTTCATATAACATCTCCCTTTTTCTAAAAAAAGTTGATGTCATACATCGACTTTTACAATTAATTAAAAGATTACAAGATTACATATGTTTAAGATTATTTGAGTAGATAATTGAATAGTTATTATAACTTGTAATTGGTTAATATAAGGGTTGATTTAAGTAAGTTCAATCTCGTCTTCCTGTTCTTCAGGGCGGATTGATGGTCTTCTTCGGGGTAGAATGCTTGCAAGTCTAGAAAATCTTTTCCTAGGTCTGGGTGGAGACGGTGGAGCATTTGGCGAAAATGAAAGGGCCAATCTTCTTCGTTT